GTGTGGGGGGGGTGCAATTGGGGTTAAGTGACTTGCCCAGAGTCACACAGCTAATGAGTGTTATGTGTGTGAGGCTGGATTTGAATTTTGGTCCTCCTGACTCCAGGGCTGGTGTTCTATCCACTGCGCCATCAAATATTTTCTTAGGCAATTTATGTTTTCCATTTTATCAAACACTGGGTTATGAATTCTGTTGGTTCAGAGTCTCCTTCTTCTAGTCTGTCCCAGATGGTTTTGATAACTGTTGCTGAGATCAGGAAGTGCTATTCTCATTTCAGTCCTACTTGTTATCATTATTTTCCTTGATATTCTATGTCTTTGTTTTTCCAAATGACTGTTATTTTATCAAGTTGTATCAAGTACCCTTCTAGTAATTTGATTAGCATAGTGTTATCATTTTAATTATATTGGCATGGCCTAGTCATGAGAACTGAATATTTTTCAAAGTTGTACTTTATTTCTTTAAGGAATAATTGAATCTTTAAGTCTTGTATGTTTTGGTAGGTCAATCCTTAGATATTTTACACTTTTTGTAGTTATTTGGAATGGGCTTTCCCTTTCTATTAATGCTTCTTCTGTGTTTTGTGATTATGTAGAAATGCTTTTAATTTTTGAGGGCTTTTTTTGGCGCAGCAATAGGGGTTAAGTGACCTGCTCAGGGTCATAGAGCTAGTAAATGTCAAGTGTCTGAGATCGGATTTGAATTCAGCTCCTCCTGACTCCAGAGCCAGTGCTATCCATTGCGCCACCTACCTGCCTTGAGGACTTATTTTTTTTAACCTGCATTATTGTTGAAGCTACTAATTGTCTCAGTATCTTTTCTGTTTCTCTAAGATTTTTCCAAGTAAACTGTCATATCAGCAACAAGTAGCAATAGTTATTTTTTTTTCCACATTCCTGTTAAACATATCTTTACATTAGTGATGTTGTAAGAATTAGAACCAATAGGAGGAACCACCAGAAAGAGGAAACAAAACACAACAGAAGAAAAAAAAATAGCAAATAGTATACTTCAGTCTGCATTCAGACTCTATAGTTTTTTCTTTGGATATGGATAGCATTTTCCATCATGAAACCTTTGGAAATGTCTTAGATCCTTGTATTGCTGAGAAAGGTTAAGTCTATCAATATTAGTCATCACACAACGTGGCTGTTACTGTGTACAGTGTTCTTCTGGTTCTGCTCATTTCACTCAGCATCAGACCATACAGGTTTTTCCGAAGTCAGCCTCTTCATCATTTCTTTTTTCTTTTTTAAAATAGGAGTTTTCTTTAACTGCAACTTATTTTCCAGTTTTCTTTTCTTTTGGGGGGGGGCAGTGAGGCAGTCAGGGTTAAGTGACTTGCCCAGGGTCACACAGCTAGTGTCAAGTGTCTGAGGTCGGATTTGAAGTCAGGTCCTCCTGACTTCAGGGCCGGTGCTCTATCCACTGTACCACCTAGCTGCCCCTTGT